GTGGGGGTGGGGGGGTGGGGGTCCTGAAGCCCCCAAAAAACCTCTGGATCCACCACTGACACATTGATTTAATACCAAACATCAATTACAATAATAGAAATTTCCCAGCGGTGATATTAATATCCATCATATGTGAAATATCTGAGTATAGTCGGGTGTATCATTGAGGAAACGTAACGTAAAAGTGTATCTATACTTCCTGCTGATCATATATAATATATACTCGATGATGACTAGTAGGTCTACCTGTTGAGTGGTATGTGCTGTGTCATCAGCTGAGTCAGGGGTGCTGCATCTGGTTAGCATCCAATCAGGGCAGGCTACCAGTAGGTACCCTCAGGTATTAATTGGCACCTGGGGCCTGGGTGGAGCATGTGTATAGGTAGATGGTATTGGTACAGTGTTATTGGCCTCAGCAGGCTGGCCGTGAGTCTGACACACCAGCTAACAGTGGGTATGATGGGGAGCAGGCTGACTGATAGTACCTCAATGACTAGTACACCTCTTCCTTACTGACAGCCTGATGTCAGCATGACTAACATCGAATCATTTTTATGCACACAAAATATTGGTCACAGTACCAAATTCTTAACAAATTCATGAATACAAAATGTGTCATGTTATTATTACCGTTACATAGCTATCAGTGTACAGATTGTCATCCCTACAGGAAGACAAGGTGGTGGGGGCATGGAGGGTCCCCATCACTGATCTACAGCAGGGACCTGGTCAGTGGATGGGCCCCGTCACTAATCTACAGCAGGGACCTGGTCAGTGGAGGGACCCTGTCATTGATCTACAGCAGGGACCTGGTCAGTGGAGGGACCCCGTCAGTGGAGGGACCCCGTCAGTGGAGGGACCCTGTCAGTGGAGGGACCCCATCAGTGGATGGACCCTGTCACTGATCTACAGCAGGGACCTGGTCAGTGGACGGACCCTGTCACTGATCTTGTAGGGACCCGGGGAGGTTTGATGGAGATAAGATTGCTTAACTACTCCTGAAATCAATGTTGTGTAATAAATACCTTGATTTACTTAAAATCAACTTCCCATTTAAAAGCAATTTCATCTTTTATTACAAGCGAAACATATCAGAGTGGAGAGTAACCCCAGACAATGGTGGTGGTGAGCCAAGTATCCAGACCCCCAACTGTGTAACATCCCGTGTGTCTTACATGCCCCTACCCGCCAGAGCTGTGGCTGGGGGCTAGGCTGTTAATACGGGATTAATGACCTTCTATAAGACAGGTGTCCGACTTAGATGGGATTAACTAGGTGTACAGAGATGCATTAGGTGCGAATGAAAAAATAGCAACTCTTTTCTGGACTCCTTGCTTTCCAGAATGATGTATAGATAATTTGTTAATGTTGTATATTTCCAACAGGAAATATTTTATCTCCATTGCCTGATTGTTACATACCTATCTTGTTGGTGTATCTTGGTATACGTGATGTGGTGGTGCTGCCACCTAGGAGTGGAGGGATAATTTAGAAAGTTACTCTATGATGAATGTCCTCTTCATTTACTAGTGATTGTGTACAGCTGTGTTAGGGCAGTAATGATAATGGACCTGTACCTTCAGTCCCTATCAGTGTCCGTCATTATGTAGCAAGACAGCTACAAAAACACCTGTCCCAAACCACCTCCTGTATACAAACTAACAGGTATACCTGTTATCATACCTATATACCTGTTATCATACCACACCTGTGTACCTGTATCCTACCACATCTGTATACCTGTTATCATACCATACCTGTATACCTGATATCATACCACACCTGTATACCTGTTATCATACCACATCTGTATACCTGTTATCATACCACACCTGTATACATGTTATCCTACCACATCTATTTATCTGTATCATACCACATCATAATCAAAAATCAGTGACACCTTTTAAGACTTCGCAGGTCTGTAACCCTGGTATCAGTATCACCCTGTCTGACTGGACACGTCTGTAGCCCTGGTAACAGTATCACCCTGTCTGACTGGACAGGTCTGTCACCCTGGTATCAGTATCACCCTCTCTGACTGGACAGGTATTTAGCCCTGGTATCAGTATCACCCTGTCTGATTGGACAGGACTGTAACCCTGGTATCAGTATCACCCTGTCTGAATGGACAGGTCTGTAACCCTGGTATCAGTAGCACCCTGTCTGACTGGACAGGTCTGTACCCCGGGTATCAGTATCACCCTGTCTGACTGGACGGGTCTGTAACCCTGGTATCAGTATCACCCAGTCTGACTGGACAGGTCTGTAGCCCTGGTATCAGTATCACCCTGTCTAACTGGACAGGTCTGTACCCCTGGTATCAGTATCACCCTCTCTGACTGCACAGGTCTGTAACCCTGGTATCAGTATCAACCTGTCTGACTGGACAGGTCTGTAACCCTAGTATCAGTATCACCCTCTCTGACTGGACAGGGCTGTAACCCTGGTATCAGTATCAACCTGTCTGACTGGCCAGGTCTGTAACCCTGGTATCAGTATCACGCTGTCTGACTGGACAGGTCTGTAGCCCTGGTATCAGTATCCCCCTGTCTGACTGGACAGGTCTGTACCCCGGGTATCAGTATCACCCTGTCTGACTGGACAGGGCTGTAGCCCTGGTATCAGTATCACCCTGTCTAACTGGACAGGTCTGTAACCCTGGTATCAGTAGCACCCTGTCTGACTGGACAGGTCTGTACCCCGGGTATCAGTATCACCCTGTCTGACTGGACATGTCTGTAACCCTGGTATCAGTATCACCCTCTCTGACTGTACAGGTCTGTAACCCTGGTATCCCACACCTGTATACATGTTATCCTACCACATCTAGTTATCTGTATCATACCACATCATAACCAAAAATCAGTGACACCTTTTAAGACTTCGCAGGTCTGTACCCCTGGTATCAGTATCACCCTTTCTGACTGGACAGGTCTGTAGCCCTGGTATCAGTATCCCCCTGTCTGACTGGACAGGTCTGTACCCCGGGTATCAGTATCACCCTGTCTGACTGGACAGGCCTGTAACCCTGGTATCAGTATCACCCTCTCTGACTGTACAGGTCTGTAACCCTGGTATCAGTATCAACCTGTCTGACTGGCCAGGTCTGTAACCCTGGTATCAGTATCACCCTCGCTGACTGGACAGGTCTGTAACCCTGGTATCCGTATCACCCTGTCTGACTGGACAGGTCTGTTCCCCTGGTATCAGTATCGCCCTGTCTGACTGTCCAGGTCTGTACCCCTGGTATCAGTATCACCTTCTCTGACTGGACAGGTCTGTAACCCTGGTATCTGTATCACCCTCTCTGACTGCACAGGTCTGTAACCCTGGTATCAGTATCACCCTGTCTGACTGGACAGGTCTGTAACCCTGGTATCAGTATCATGACTGGACAGGTCTGTAACCCTGGTATCAGTATCAACCTGTCTGACTGGACAGGTCTGTAACCCTGGCATCAGTATCACCCTGTCTGACTGGACAGGTCTGTAACCCTGGTATCCGTATCACCCTGTCTGACTGGACAGGTCTGTAACCCTAGTATCAGTATCTCCCTCTCTGACTGGACAGGTCTGTAACCCTGGTATCCGTATCACCCTGTCTGACTGGACAGGTCTGCAACCCTGGTATCAGTATCACCCTGTCTGACTGTACAGGTCTGTACCCCTGGTATCAGTATCAACTCTCTGCCTGGACAGGTCTGTAACCCTGGTATCAGTATCAACCTGTCTGACTGGACAGGTCTGTAACCCTGGTATCAGTATCATGACTGGACAGGTCTGTAACCCTGGTATCAGTATCACCCTCTCTGACTGGACAGGTCTTTAGCCCTGGTATCAGTATCAACCTGTCTGACTGGACAGGTCTGTCCCCCTGGTATCAGTATCACCTTCTCTGACTGGACAGGTCTTTAGCCCTGGTATCAGTATCACCCTCGCTGACTCAACAGGACTGTTTTCTGTGAGTCAGTGCCATCTATGTCAGTGATCTATAACTTGCAATAAAGTTTGTAAGTATCTGATCAATAGACTTAGTGTATCAGTATCACCCTCTCTGACTGGACAGGTCGGTACCTCTGGTATCAGTATCACCCTCTATGACTCAACAGGACTGTTTTCTGTGAGTCAGTGCCATCTATGTCAGTGATCTATCACTTGAAATAAAGTTTGTAAGTATCTGATCAATAGACTTAGTGTGGTATTGTCAGTGGGGATACACTAATGATTTCAAACCATATGTAAACCGATGACATATGATGAGCCCTATAGTCTATAATGTATATAAAATCAATATCTCTTTCTTAGATGAATTTGTCTTTGCCAGCCTGAGAACCAGATAGAGCAATGCCCCCAGACTCCAGTGCCGTGGTACCAGGAGGGAGGCCAGCGTTCACCATGCTACCAGGATGGAGGAGATCGTTCACCAGCAGTATGTTATCGGAGCCTCTATGTAAAGATAAACAAAATCGGTTTCCAACAACAACCCTGATCCTCTGACATCACCCCTCCTACATGACCGTCAGCGCTATTTATAGCGGACTACTTACCCACTGACCTACATATAGGTAACTGCTCTCTGTACATTAATAAGTTTAGGCTTATGTCATTGATTAGTTGACCCCTGGCTACACTATAATAATTGTCAGTGACAAGCTGGCATGCTTTTGACTGTTTTTTTTAGGTGGGCCATCAGTGTACACAGACAGGTGTACATATTAGCTGTTTTGTCACCTGTAACATCAGCAGGCCTTGTTTATGTGTGTATTGGCAGTGTAGGTTGGGTATTGGTGTAGACAGCTTACCTACGGTACTGATGTCTATCCATTACTGTCATCTCTCAACGCTCCATATAGCAACAACGGTGACCAGACTTACACGCCACAACACGATCGACCCAGACAATGTTGTGAAAACTTTTATTGAAACAAATTTTAATATGAGACATTTAACTTACCATGCTGGTCCTGACAAGTCCGTGTTCAACTCGGGTGACACGAAGGATGACAAGCAACATAGCACGCACATAGCTGGGCGGTGGACTCTGGGCTAGCTGGGCGGTGGACTCTGGGCTAGCGAGCAGGAAAGTCAGGGTTCAAATCTCCCCGGACACAGTTGCATGATGGATGATAAGCAATGCTGCTGGCACACTGGGTATTGAACTTGGTTCGTGAGCAGAAGGGTCATGGGTTGAATCTCATGTGCAGATTTCTTAAACTTTGACAGGACATGGAGCATCCCACATACCAGTTCCAACCAAGAACTATTCAGGAAGAGTTCCGACCAAAACCTATTCAGGAAGAGAAGAAACAAAAGATATATAACTGAAGTATACATTTATGTAGTGTTGCTTTCTTTGCCCATCAAGCTGGTTAGATTGAAATTTTACTTATTTACAGATATTATTCGGATAATTTTATTAAAAAATTTCTCAACATCTTAAAAGTTGAAATGGAAAATACAAAAGACAGTGATAATGGCGAGCGGCTGGTAAAGGTCTGGGGGCTTAGTACTGGTCACGTGATGAAGTAACACTAAACAGTAATACACATTAAACTCATTTCCTGTCCCTTGTGTTGCAGCACAGCTGAACAGCAGTACCAGATGTTCCCAACCAGCAGGAATAAAGTGAAAACATTTGTATAAACTTGTCTCAGGCCCCCTCCCTCGGGAGGGTCAATCAACTATCATGCTGCTGCTTACATCTCAAATCTCTACTGCATCTAAAACTTACGTTACATTACACTTTATATATACACGACTATATTGGTGCCATTAGTTATTTCCAGAACTTTTGGTTTTATAATTTAAGATGGCAATCCAATGAATGATAAACAGGGCCAGGTCATATTACTGTTTATGGACAAATTAAACCCTTTTAACTTCCCTTAGGCTTAATAAAGCACGAATGTGAAGATTATGAAAATAAGCGCTGGATATTTTGAAAGACTACTTAGATGCAACGCTTTTGGTTTAGTGTTGCAAAATAAAATCTGACAACAATAATTTCAATCACAGCCTACGTTTGTTACTGTAACTCTAAACTATTACGTGTAACTTCAAAATTTCAAAATGTGAACCAGTACCTTTACAGTCCTTCTTTATCATACCAAACTGTAGAACTGTGACCTTGACCCTGACCAAATCCTTGACACCACACTGTAGAACTGTCAACTGTGACCTTGACTAAATCTTTGACACCACACTGTAGAACTGTCAACTGTGACCTTGACCTTACAGGTCATTTAGAAAAGCTATCTTACATACCATCTCAGCATAACTTTTTCGGAGAGTATAATATGGATGCAAATGAGTAAACAAACAATTGACCTTTGACCTCTAACAGCTGCCTTGTTGAAGAAGGATACTTGACTACAGTCTACAGTTTGTAAACAAGTTCTGTTGTACACCGGTAAAGTATTCCTATGTAAAAACCTGTTTAAATTGAACTATGTACAATAGATAACCTGTGTAAACCAGACCTTCAAATATACATCTCCTTACACTTTTCTATGTAAACAGAACCTGTACAGTATGAAAACCTGTGTAAACCAGACCTTCAAATACATATATCTTTACACTTTTCTATGTAAACAGAACTTGTACAGTATGAAAACCTGTGTAAACCAGACCTTCAAATATACATCTCCTTACACTTTTCTATGTAAACAGAACATGTACAGTATTAAAACCTGTGTAAACCAGACCTTTAAATCTAAATTTCCCCTATCAGAGCCTCATCCCTCTGACCCCATTCCTTTTTTATAAAGAGGATACTCGGAGCCAAATTTAGTCAAAATCCACTGAGCTGTTCAGGGCAAGTAGTGTTTTAAAGGGAAAATTGACAGATGGATGATGGACCTCGCACCGTGGCACAAGCGCTCGCTGGTCCTTTGGACCAGGGGAGCAGATAAAACCTGTATAAGCCGACCTTTAACCCTATCTCCCTTAACCTTCAACGCTATCTAACTGTATTTTTTTTTGCTATGAAAATTTGACTTTAAACATGTGGTAACAGTTTAGAGAGGTTCCTTATTACACAGGGTTTTGTGGTAAGTAATACACCAATAATTAATTCCTGTACCTTCTATCCATGCCCTTGGTTGACTTGATCAGGATAGCGTTTTATTGTCCCCTACTTGCCAGGGTTTATGATGTTAGGTATTTAGTTAACTGGCCACGGTTAATGGTATTTAGTGATGTTTACCGGCCAGGACAGGGATACTTGGATTGTCTCCCTTGTATAAAGACACAACTCACCCGTCACATAAAGGGTGTAGTAAGATGGGTTTGAGAATAGGTAAGTAGCAGTCCAGGGGACATTTGGGACTAGGTTTAGATGCTGAAAGTGTAACAGTGTATGGGAATGGTTAAGTACCAAAGTAAACAGGTTTTGTAGAACTGTTGGATCAACTATGATGTGTTAGAGCTGTTATATCTGTGTAGGAATTAAAAAAACACAGCCTGTAGTCTTATTCTTCTTGTTACCACCAACAACTTCAACAGAAATCAATACTATGTGTGTCAGGCAATCAATTGTAACCAGTGTAGTACATGTGTACCTAATGTGTAGTACCCCTAGTGTGTAGTACATGTGTACCCAGTGTGTAGTACCCCCAGTGTAGTGCATGTGTCCCCAGTGTGTAGTACATGTGTCCCCAATGTGTAGTGTATGTGTACCCAGTGTGTAGTACATGTGTACCCACTGTGTAGTACCCCCAGTGTGTAGTGTATGTGTACCCAGTGTGTAGTACATGTGTACCCAGTGTGTAGTACCCCCAGTGTGTAGTACATGTGTACCCAGTGTGCAGTACATGTGTACCTAATGTGTAGTACCCCTAGTGTGTAGTACATGTGTACCCAGTGTGCAGTTCATGTGTACCTAATGTGTAGTACCCCTAGTGTGTAGTACATGTGTACCTAGTGTGTGGTACCCCCAGTATGTAGTACATGTGTCCCCAGTGTGTAGTGTATGTGTACCCAGTGTGTAGTACATGTGTACCCAGTGTGTAGTACCCCCAGTGTGTAGTACATGTGTCCCCAGTGTGTAGTGTATGTGTACCCACTGTATAAACAAGTGTATTGAGTGTGTAGTACATGTGTCCCCAGTGTATAAAAGAAGTATACCCAATGTGTAGTTACCCCAGTGTGTAGTACATGTGTACCCAGTGTGTAGTAAATGTGCACCCAGTGTGTAGTACACATGTACTTAGTGTAAATTTTGTGAGGAACTGGTACAAGTTGTCCTTTTTTCAGTGATTTGCCAACAAGACAGACAGTACTTGAATGTTAGGATATCCTTGATTGAAGACACAGACAGCTTAGGTAGTCAGAGACATGAAAACACATGGAGATTCTCCTGGCGAATGTGACCTTAATGTGGAAAACATTTGTCACCAGTCGACAACACAGAAGTGGTAGCATTCTGTGACCTTGACCTCTACCTATTCTCCATAAAATATCTTGTTGTAATTGAGGCTCTGTCCACATATTATGTTGTCCTCCCTGTTATCAGAAAAGGTCACTTTGTATTAAGTGTCTATTTGACCTTGAATCCTCCCCCAATTTGTGTGTAACGATCACTAACAAATTAGACTGGATGTAAGCTGTTGTCGGGGTGATCAATGTGTACTGCCACTCTGTGGTGACTGTTACTTCTACCGTTCAAGGTCACAACAGATTGATAACAAAAACATTCTGCTGTTCATGCTTTTACGCACTTTGATCTGATCGTCAACCAATTAACCAATGCAACTGCTGTGTCCTATTTCAGTAACGGCCAATCTCGATCAGCTCAAACTAAGCTCTTATCTTTGTATCACTGTAAACGTTTTATCAGATCCCAGTCATATTTGTGTATGTTACTGTGCAGAAACCTTCAAACTATTAGATTTTGTAATATGCAAATTAATCCTGCCCAGATTACGATAAAATAAAATTTACTTTAGTCTTTGTTTACTGTACATGCTAACTAACCTTCATTGGTATTGGAAATCACGTGAAGGTGAAACGTGGACAGAGCGATGTACAGATAACATGGCTGTTACACGTCCATACTTCGGCGTATGGCTACAAATGGTGAAGGGAACTGGACGGAAATTTTAAAATTTTCCTCTGGCAACCGCTATTGAGCTCCCTCCTGGTGCACTTTGGAGGCCCAGATCCTCCGTTTATACAACATTGAGTCCCCTTAATCCAAGAATATTTCACATAACATTTGGTCAAGGTCATTTCTTTGATGACAATCTTCATTTTTAGGAAGATGTTGATTTTTACATATTTGAGAAAAATTTATACCACAATATCACAGCATGCTACTGGTCACCTATCATCACCCTGGACATCCTGGTTATGTTAAAGGTAACTGTTTAAGGTTTGTACATATTTGATTCTTGTGACCTTGAAAGTAGGTCCAGTTCATTTATTTGAGGAAAATTTATGCCACAATTCATCACCATATGTGTCTCAGTGATGCAGAAAAGTTGTTCAAAGATTTTAGAACATTTGACCCCTGTGACCTTCAACATTGGTCAAGGTCATCCATGCAGGGAACTTCATAGCACTACATCCCATGTACCTAATGGCCAAATATTATCATCCTGGAGCTTTTGGTTATTCAAAAGAAGTTGTTTAAATATTTTTGAATATTTGACCACTGTGGCCTTGAAAGTTGGTCAGTCATTTGTTGGAGGAAAATTGATTGCACTCTATCCTAGGTAAAGACTGGCCAAATAACATTACTCTTGGTTATTCATAAGAACTTGTTTTTAGCATATTTATCCCTTGTGATCTCAAAAGTAGGTCAAGGTCATTTATTTGAGGACATTTTAATAAAACTCCATCCCAGGTACCTACTGGCCTAGTAGCATGACCCTAGGTGCACAAGTTCTTAAGAAGAAGTTGCTTAAGGAAAAAAGTTGAGGACCACGAACAACACACCATAGCGTAAGCTCACAGGCAATATATTCATGCCAGGTGAACTAAAAATTAAAGCTGTATAAAGTCTGTACCGGGATTATATCTATTTGCGGGCAGCCCAGACAGCAGACTGCCAGGGTAGACACAGAAGTATCAGAGCCAGACTCCGGTGCAGGTGTAGTCGGCCTAAGAAGGGGAGGTGACCCTTAAACCATTCCGTAGAAGTAGAGCGCATGGATCAGTGGCCTCTTTTCTGATAGGTGTAAAACCTTATAGAAACATCACGTTTTACTTACAATTGCTCCCGTTATGCCCATGCCCCTTTACTTCAAAAGCTGACTTGTACAAGATATGGGTTTCCAATGGCCCCAC